ATTGTCCCCGCGAGAATACGCTAGTGGCAAGGAGGTAGGCTGCAGCACCGCTGCAAGCTCTGCATACGCCTCTCGACGACCTTACTGCCTGTTTACTAAATTTGGGGTTTTTGGGATCAATTCCTTCTTCTGCTACAACAGTTTTCACTTATTAGTACAAATTGGGGATAGAAATAGAAAACAAATGCTCAATCCCTAGTGTCCTGCTAAGTTGACTAAGGTGCCCACTTACACACTTAACGTGGTTTTGATATGAATGCTGGAACTTCTATCACTAGGTTATCTATTGATTGTAGGTTTCTCATGGCATTTCCGGAGTTCGAACCCGGTAATAATGACCTCCGCTGTAACATTCCTCCACAATCTTATTTTTTTGATCGAAAACATTTATTTTGCCTACCCTACAGTAACAGTCTATGCTAAATTCCGATTTGCATGGCTTTTCGACTGAGGACGAACTTTCATACCATCTCTTTCACTTTGTCAGTTTCTTCAGGCCTCATGTTCAGGAAAATACTGATGATTATACATCGTTGCTAAGAGTGATGGAATGTTTATTTTTTCATTGACTTCCAGGAATGGCGAATGGGCAGAGGTGCCTTTCAGTCAATAATTCCAATGCCCTGCGGTTCGATCCTACAGACAGTTCTGCAGGCGATTCCTAGAATGCGCGGTAAGCTCTCCCTCTCGGGCTTCTCCGTACCCACTGCGACTGGCAGCGTAGCGGACCTGACATGCAGTTTCTCTAACAACGTGCCTTCCGTCCAGGAGCTTGCTAAGGCCCTGAAGGAGGGAAACGTACTGAAGAACCTGGCGAATATGCATGAGAAGTGTCAACCTGGCTGGCTCTTACAATATTGGTGTCCGGAGGAAATGGAGGGCCTGAAGAAACACCTACCGAAGATAGAGTGCACCGTGAAAACAGAGCCTAAACCAGAGTTCCATCTACCCACCTTCAGTGATGACGAGTCTCCACGTCAAAAGCCAGCGCGACAGATAAAAAAGGAACCCACCTCACCACGCTTTTTTGCGGATCAGACTAAGGAACGCCCAACACCGGTTATGGAGATCTGGGAGGAGGACCATCTGGGTGTGTCAGCGGACGTAAAGGCGGCTCCTTGTATGGCGATCCTGGATGCAAACTCCTGTCTAGCAGTGGATAATGGATCGCTAATGAAAATAATTTCTTGGTATGCCATATTTTATTTGATTGCTAGCTAGAACAGAGTAGTTTTGGCAGCTAAAAATAGGCATCTTACATGATGACTGTTGCACAAAGCGTCTCGGTATGAGGTTAGAGAAATGCGATGTTTTTGTGTTGGGTCTGAGTTTTTGTAGGTTATTCATGCCTATCTGTAGTCTCTAATTGGTACTTTGTAAAACCAGTACTCTCGCAAAAACGTGGCACTTTAATTTACTCCCGCGACTGTCTCCTAAAATGGGTCACGCTGTCAATGTGTTGAACCAAATTCGGCTGGCCGCCGTGACCCACGGCACGCCTCCGTTGGGCTGCGCAGATTGCGCGCGCATGCATAGCTACTACAGCACATGCGAACGTGTTGTGGGGCGCCTAC